TAAAAGATTGAAATAGATGGAAAATACTCTATGTGTCAGAAGATTTAACATTGCTAAGATAGCAATACTACCCAAACTGATCTACAGATTCAGTGCAATCTCTATCAGCATCCAATCTGTCTTCTTTGTAGAAACTGACAGGCTGATTCTAACATTCACATGGACTCCAAAAGACCCTGAATAGCCAAAGCAATCCTGAAGAGAAAAGGGCTGGAGGCATCGTGATTCAGGACTCCAAGCTGTATTACAAAGCTGTAGGCATCAAGACAGTATGGTACTGGCACAAAAACAGACACATAGGTCAATGGAACCCAGATAAGGGCCCACAACTATATGATCAACTAATCTTTCACAAAGCAGAAAAGAATATCCAATGGAAAAAAGACAGTCTCTTCAACAAATGGTGTTGGGAAAACTGGACAGCACATGCAGAATGAAACTCTACCACTTTCTTATACCACACACAAAAATAAATTCAAAATGGATGAAAGACCTAAATGTGAGACAAGAAACCATCAAAATCCTAGAGGATAAAACAGGCAGCAACCTCTTTGACCTCAGCTGGAGAAACTTCTTACTAGACATGTCACCAGAGGCAAGGGAAACAAAAGCAAAAATGAACTATTGGGACTTCATCAAGATAAAAGCTTCTGCACAGTGAAGGAAACAAACAAACAAACAAACAAACAAAAAAAGCTAAAAGGCAGCCTGTGGAACAGGAGAAGATATTTGCAACTGACATATCTGATAAATATATAATTTATCCAAAATATATAAGGAATTTATGAAATTCAACACCCAAAAAACAACCTTGTTAAGGAAATGGGCAGAACATAAAGAGACACTTTTCTAAAGAAGACATCCAGATAGCTAACAGACACATGAAAAGATGTTCAGCATCACTCATCATCAGGGAAATGCAAATCAAAACCTCATGAGATACCACCTCACACCTGTCAGAATGGCTAAAATTAACAACTCAGGCAACAACAAGTGTTGGTGAGAGTGTGGAGAAAAGAAAATCCTTTTACACTGTTGGTGGGAATGCAAACTGTTGCAGCCACTCTGGAAAACAGTATGGAGATTCCTCAAAAAGTTAAAGATAGAACTACCCTACGACTCAGCAATTGCACTACTGGGTATTTACTCAAAGGATACAAAAATACAGATTCAGAGGGGGTACATCTACCCCAATGTTTACAGCAGCATTTACCAACAATAGCCAAACTATGGAAAGAGCCTAAATGCCCATTGACTGATGAATGGATAAAGAAGATGTGGTGTGCGTGTGTGTGTGTGTGTGTGTGTGTGTGTATACCTATATGTAATTGAATATTAGTCAGCCATTAAACGGAATGAAATCTTGCCATTTGCAACGACATGGATGGAGCCAGAGTGTATTATGCTAAGTGAACTAAGGCAGAGAAAGACAACTATCATATGATTTCACTCATATGTGGAATTTAAGAAACAAAACAAATGAACACAGGGGAAGGGGGGAAAAGAGAAAAAAGAAAAGAGAGAGAAACTGTAAGAGACTCTTTATGATAGAGAACAAACTGAGAATTGATGGAGGAGGGTGGGGGGTAGGCTAAATGAGTGATGGATATTAAGGAGGGCACTTGTGTGAACACTGGATATTAATATATCAGTGATAAATCACTAAGTTCTACTCCTGAAAACAATATTACACTACATGTTAACTAACCATAATTTAAATAAAAATTAGAAAAAAAAGTAATAAAATTCATATGGATTTGCAAGGTACCCAGAATAGTCAAAACAATCTTTAAAATTTTTTTTAATTTTAGAAGGAGGGGAGGGGACAGAGGGCGAGAGAGAGGGAGAGGGAGACGGGGAGAGAGAGAGAGAGAAAGAGAGAATCCAAAGCAGGCTTCAGTGCAGAGCCCAATGCGGGGCTCAATCCCATGACCCTGGGATCATGACCCTAGCTTAAATCGAGAGCTGGACACTCAACTGACTGAGCCGCTCAGGCGCTTCTGTTTTTATTTTGAGAGATAGGGAGAGAGAGAGAGAGAGAGCATGAGATGGGAAGAGGAGCAGAGTGAGAGAACAAATCTTAAGCAGGCTCCACTCAGCACAGAGCCTGACACCGGGCTTGATCCCATGACCTGGGAATCACGACTTGAGCTGAAATCAAGAGTAAGATGCTCAACCAACTGAGCCACCCAGGCACCCCATATCTACTCTTTATTTATTTGTTTGTTTGTTTTCTATTTTTTAATGTTTATTTATTTTTGAGAGAGAAAGACAGAGCACAAGCTGGGGAGGGGCAGAGAGAGAGGGGGGAGACAGAATCTGAAGTAGGCTCCAGGCTCCTATCTGTCAGCACAGAGCATGACTTGGGGCTCGAACCTACAAGCTGTGAGATCATGACCAGAGCCAAAGTGGGACACTTAACCAGCTGAGCCACACAAGCGCCTCTCTACTCTTTTTATTTTTTTATTAAAAAATTTTTTTAAACATTTATTCATTTTTGAGAGAGAGAGGCAGAGCATGAACAGAGGAAGGACAGAGAGAGAGAGAGGGAGACACAGAATCTGAAGCAGGCTCCAGGCTCTGAGCTGTCAGGCAGCACAGAGCCAGATGAGGGGCTCGAACTCACACACCACGAGATCGTGACCTGAGCTGAAGTCGGACATTTAACCGGCTGAGCTACCCAGGTACCCCAACTCTTTTTATTTTTAACATAAGAGTTTAACAAACTTTTTTCTACTTTGAGGAGATACTATAGGCAAGTACATGATTAAAAGTGGGAAGATATATATATATATATATATATATATATATATATAATATTTTATGTATTTTAGAATCTGATAAAGCAGAGATAGGAACCCAAACAGCTCCCCATCCTAGGTCACTGAACATAGGAGCAAACAGTTAGACAAACGTCAGACTGTCCTGAAGGAATAGCATCATTTCAATATACATACCCAGTACCAGGGACTATTCTGATAAGCCAAAAATGATACTCTATTTGGCATACTCTGCTAAGTAAGCCATGTAAACACAGTACATTTTAGAGAGAGAATCTAAACATGCACAACTCTAAAAGCAGATGCCTCTGTACATCCCTTTTCTCATCTGTAAGGATAAGAAGAGTCTTTCCTTTGAAGGGGTTGTGAGGATTAGGTGAGGTAATGTATACAAGGTGCTTGGCATAGTTCATGGCACATGGTAAGCACCCAATGTGACTTTCCATTATTATGATGTATACAGTAACCAAACTATGACAAAGGCCTGGAGCTAATCGTGGAAAAGACAAATTGCATTCTGTAAAGTCTGCATAAGGAACCATGTCAACACTTAAAATATTTTATAACTATTTCTATCTAACATGGTTTAAATATTTTTGAAGCCAGATAAACGTGTAAACAGTAAAAACTCATCTATCTAGAATGACTTATTCTCTAAATAATGAATTTTACTTATTTAATTATGAAAATAGGAATCATAGGCTACATTAAGTCATATTTTGGGGTGACATATTTAGGTGAAAGAAAGCAATATGATTCATCAACTCTCTAAATGCTGTAAAAAAAAAAACAAAAAACAGCAGGCTGGTTTATTTTTTGAAGGAGGACATACCTTTTCCAGTAATGGTCATGAGCATGGAATTTTAATAATGCTTTGGAATTCTAGGACTCAGTCTTTTAGCCAAGTGTTTTGAAACCTGGCTTCAAGAATTCTTTTTTAAATAAAAAAAAATTATTTTAGAGAGGGAGAGAGACAGTGTGAGCTGGAGAGTGGGTGGGACAGAGGGAGAGAGAGAGAATGGCAAGCAGACTCCATGCAAAGCGCGGAGCCCAACGCAGGGCTCCACGTGGGGCTCGATCCCATGATCCTGGGATTATGACCAGAGCCAAAATCAAAAGTCGGACACTGAACCAACTGAGCCACCCGGGAGCCCCAAGAATTCTTGATCAAGTAACTTTCTTCCTTATAATGGTACAGGAACGTTAACTGCCCCGGTAAAGCAAAACTGCCATTTATTTCCCTCCATATCTCTGCTAAGGTTTGAGTGAGAAAGTTCAGAAGAACAAAATTCAAAAGCTAAGATGTTTCAATTATCATGTCACTCAGCTCTCATTGGGTTCGCTTTTCTTTTTCCCTTTCACTTCTTATTTCCATTACGTTTCTACTGAAACATAATATCTGGGGCTCTGAATCTTTGGGTCTCTTTTTTATTGAAGTACGTTTGACACACAATGTTACACTAGTTACAGGTGATTGGACAAGTCTGTATGTTATACTATGCTCAGTGCCAGAGTAGCTACCATCTGCCACCATACATTATTGCAGTATCATTGACTATATTCTCTTTGGGTCTCTTATGTGCATCATTTTGTCAAACTACTGACGTAATCAGGCTTTTAATTTCCTCATCCAGGTGAGAGTTAGACCTCTAATTCCCGTGGGAAGATAAAGGAAGAATCATCACATACCTGTGGGCAAATAAAGCCTGCCCCATACATGATGCTCCTTAGGAAAGAAGGAAGAACGTCCTTGGGAATGAGATTATCTGCAAAGATCATCATGAAGTTTTTGAAGAAAGTTAAATGGAAGACTTGGAAGAAACTCATTATCAGAAAAAGGCAAAGGTTTTTCTGGGTCAAGAGCTGTCTCATCAATGAGATGATGGAGGTCCAGGGGAGATCCTGTTCACTTTCGGAGAAGAGGTTTTCCTCAGGGCTTTTCAGTCCAAAGTGACTCATGCGGTACATGCCAGTGTAAAGGCTGGCAGTGGCAAGAATGGCAATGAGCACAGTGAAGGCCTGAAAATTGAAGAAAATTTCCATGTTATCAGAGATGAGGCCACCAAAGAGGATGCTGGTGGATCCTACTAGTGATGCCACTTGGTTAATTTTAATAAGCTGAAGCCGACTTTCATGTCTAGTGAAAATCTCTGCAAACAGCATATACTGGGCTTGCTGAACGAAGGTAAGCGTGCTATCAAAAGCACATAGCGATACCACCAGATGAAGTCCACTCAGCCAGTCACCTTCGTGATAGTATTTCCAAGGGAACCAAGGAAGCAGGAAGGCTATCGAATACAAAGGGGCACCATACAACACAGAACTATGACGACCAGAACAGCAGTCAGCCTGAGAGTTGTGAAAATACCCAGTCAGGTCATTAAGAGCATTCCAGATCATTAAAATCATCTAGGAGAAAAAACAAACAAACACAGGGATTATTTTAGTGTGGTTTATCCTGATGAAAATGACTCCTGAATTTTTATTTAATGTAAAGTAACCAAAACTATCCATAAAAAACAGAAAACAAAAAACAAAACAAAACAAACAAAAACAAAAACCACCACCACACACACTCAAAACCCTCACTGCTTTCAGGACCAGCAGGGGGCATATATCCTATAGTATCAATAATAATAATAACAGCTCATGCTACTCCAAAAGCCAATGTGCATTCACTTTGTATTTAGGCATTGTACAAATACTTTCATGAATTAATTCATTAAATCCTTAAAATAATCCTACGAAGCAGGTACTGTTATTATTATCCCTACTTTACAATGAAGAAACTGATGGCCAGAGAAGTTAATCAATTTGCTTACCTGATAAACGACAGAGCCAGGGGCTGAGCCAAGGCAGATGACCCCAGAATCTGTGCTTTCAATCATTACGTTAGACTGCTTCCCCACAAGGCACTCAGGGCCATGCCTCTGCAGGGAATGATGGCCCGTATATATACCATGGCATAGTTTTACATAATTTCATTAGGAAAAGTTAAAATACCAATGTTTACCATTGCAAAATGCCAAAAACACTAATTAAGTCAAGTATGTAATTGACTTACATACTTATTACCAACTTACATACATATTACCAACTTACATACTTACAATATGACTTATATACATATTACCAACAATTGTTGGTAATAAAGGAGTAACATTATAAAATATAAAGGTTTTTAAGGGCATTAACTTTATCCACCCTGACCACATAATTGGTAATGAGTTACAGAATAATTTGTGATTACCATGGACCTTTTCAAGATATAGTGTCTTAATAATAATTCTAATTGTCCCGTATAAGTGAATTTTCCAAATAACCAAAGCTTACCCTTTAAATTCTAAAGCTTTAAGGTTTTAAGTGGCAATCTTTTAATAATTTCTTTGCCCTCAAGCAGAGGATCTTGGACATGGATAACCTTTTCTTAAAAACTCTTCCAGCTGTGTGAAGAATTAGCTCTTTGGGAAATTACAATAACATATAACTATGGGGAAAGAGAAACTGTCCTAGGTGAACAGATAATAAGGGCTCCATCTCACCTGGGCTTGGTAAAAAGCCACTTCTGAAATCTTGTACAGATGTAAAAACAGCTTCACATAGTAGAAACTGAAGACAGAATTTAGCATTTCAGTCCCTAATGTTATCATAGCATATGCCCAAGCAATGGGTTTGATACTTAAAAGTGTCATTTTCCACGCAAAGGAATTCTTCCTCCTTTTGTTTAAAAAAAAAAAAGATAATGGTTAAAATCCATTATTTGCATATAATAGCTGATGGGTGGCAAAATTCCTCTGAACACTAGCTCAATTTTAATTAAGAATCCCAAACCACTAGCTGTGCATATGTCATCAGATTTAACACTTAACTTTCTTATCCATTCACTCAACCTTTTTTGAGAAGTTGACAGGAATCCTAATTTGCATAGAGTGTGACTCTGCTTCTATATATATATATATATATATACACACACAATATATACTGAGTACAATATATATACACAATATATATTCAGTACAATATATACATATATGCACAATATATATTGAATGAATATACATTCATATATGTATATAAATATAAATAATAAATA